ATAAATCTCAGTCCCGTCGTAACACTCGCTCGCGTAACGCATTACGCTGGGAATTTTCCATCTACTTACGTCCGAGAGGGAGCGAGCGAGGAGCAAGAAATATAGAGGTAAAAGTAGAGGGAGAGAGAGAGAGAGAGAGAGAGAGAGAGAGAGGTGCGCGCGATCGGCCGTGAACGGCGCGTACAGTCGCCCACCTAATTTTCTTTATTTCTCCCTTTAGGCGAATTTTGTAAAATCACACGACCGTGCAGCAACGGTCCCTGCGAGCGAGCGAGCGAGTGAGCGAGCGAGCGAACGAACAAGCCAAGACCGAGCGAGCCTTGTTGCGACGTCCACCGTGGCTTCGGGCTGCGCGTAATGCGATCTCTCCTGGCCGCGCCGCGTGCTCGTTAACGATCGATAATTATAAATAATTAGTGAGGCTAGGCGTGTCCCTTTGACAGCGGTGCTTGCTCTGCAAGAACGACCGACCGGCCGACCGATGGATGCGCTTTATCTCGGAAAAAAGCACCGTATGCGAAGAGCATTAACGATCCTCACCCTCCATCCTCTTGTTCCTCCAATCCTCAATTCCCCTCCGCACTCCCCGTCGTCCATCCTGCCGTGAAGCTACTCGTTTTTCAGCATCGGGGCGACCCCGGTTGAAAGTACATTTTCATTATTTTGCTTGTTACTCGCTGTAACTCCAGCCGGAGAGCGCGCGCGGCCCTCGACGGTTTCTCGCGCGCGCGCGCGCGCGCTTGTAATACGCGCCCGTAGTCGGTAAGTTTTGCTTGCTTTTGCCGAAAGGTCCGCCGCCCCGTAGCCGGCTCGACCCGCCGCCGATAGCTTTCCATTCTCGCGCTCCATCGGCTATTCAAAGCAACCTATCCGGGGGTTCCATTATATAGGTCTCGCCGGGCGTACGTATCGCAGCAGCGTATCTTACAACTTCGATTCACCGCGCGGCGCAACACTTGTTTCCGACGGCTTTAGGGCCCTCGTTCGTATTCTTTGCGCGTACTGATCTCGGACGAGCGTCTCGGCCGAGAGTGACGGTCCTGGAGCCCCTTCGGAAGTGTAACGGCGGATGGAGTCTTTCCCGACGAATATGACTGCCGCCGCGTCGCTCGCGACGATTCGATCTCGCGACGGAGCACTTGTTAACTAACCCTCCTCCTCTTTGGCGGAGCAATCGCTCGACGATAATTTAATAATTCGCGAGCTCGACCACTCTCGGCCACGCCGCCGCGGCAATACTGGAATTATGCAACGGCTTGTGGTCTACAGTTGCTGTCTCTTGTGATATTTATACGCCGCGTTCGGCTGCGATAAAAGGACACCAGCGGATCATTAATTCATTCTTAATTGCGCGCGAGCTCCTTTCGCGGAAGACTAACGACCGACGAGGCGTACGTACACGCCCGTGGACGGAGACTCGCCTCGAACTAGAACCGGCGCAGCGAGGTCGCAACATGTCTCTACTTTTGTTGTAGCTTGCTGCAATTGGAAAAATATTCGCGTAAAAACCGTGTCGCGCTGAATGTCTGAAGAGTGTCATGAACTTTGGAATTTCACCAAATCGGGATAACGTGAGCCGAGGTCGAAGTTACCCGCCTCGTCGGATTCAATTTTCTGCTCCGCGATCTTCAATTTCCAGCGCTATACCGAGAGAGAAAAAATATCTGAAAGATAGGAAATATTTATTCCGCGGGTATTTATGATAAGTTTATCATGCGATGTGTCGGACTGAATGAAAATTGAAATCTTGGCTTCCAGATCGGAATTATTCGTTTTGTCGAAATTGGACTTCTAATCCGCAATCTCCGATGCTGCGCAGAGAGAAAAAATATACCTGAAACATAAAAAGTACTTATTTCGTGGTAATTAGTAACATATTTACTTCAATCTCAATTCTTCGTTCAAACGATGAAGCGAACAAATCGCTTTCTCGTGAAAAGCTGCGCTTTGAAGAAGTATACTTTCACGTTCGAATGAATTTTTCTCGATGTGCAAAATTATATATATCGGTAATAAATAAACATTTCACCAGCACCGAACAAATATTTCTTATCTTCAAGTATCCTTTCTCTCTCAGCTTAGATACGCGCTTAACATGCATGATTCCTTTGGATAGAGCGTCATTTTTTGGACGACATTACTAGTCGAGTCTTTCACTCGAGATCGTCCAAAGTTCATCTTCAGGTACTCCGCGATTAATCCGCACAACATCTGTAGACGAACGCAAGATGACCTTAAATATAAGACCCGTCTGCAAATACTACCCTCAGACTCGGTCACCCCCGACTGCGAGTTTGGGACGTTCCGCGCGGGGGCGCTCCGAGTGAACGACATGCTTCAATCGCGAAACGCCGAACGTACGAACGCACTCAAACGCACCGGATGCCGGCAGTTACTCCCCCGCGTCGGAGTTTGCCGTCGCGGCACAGCCACGCTGGAAATTAATACCGCTAATGCCGGAGAAAAATAATTTCACCTCCGGCAGGGGAGAAAGGGAGAGAGAGAGAGAGAGAGAGAGAGATGTGGAGAGGGAGATAAATCCATACGTGTGTGCGTACGTGTGTGAATAATGCATGAGGCGTGACGCGAAATCCGCGGACGCGATGTTGCAATTGCAGCTGCAGCATATCGAGCGTACTTACGCGCCGGGCGTGCGTGTGTCCCGCATGTGTGAGCGCGACGGCGCGCGCCTGCCTCTCGCGCGATACAATTGCAGCTGCGGTGCGATGTCGGTAGAGACGACGACGCTCCCGCGGCGCCCTCGACCTCTTTCCTGAAAACGATCGCGTTCGCTAATAGCGGCCCGGCGCAATTAAAATTTCACGCCCGGCGGCATGGTAATGCCGCCGCCTCCCCGGGCCGCCTCAGCCGTGCACAGCCGGCGCGAGTGACACGGATTATCCGCAAATATCGCGCGGCACGTCGGCGCGCGACTAATCTCCGCCACCGTGACGACGCCGCCCGGACGCGATCCGCGAGCGATCTCACTTCGGCCAGCTCGATAGCGATGAGCGGCTCATTGGCAACGCGAAAGTTGGCTGCCGTATTGCGCTTTCGGGTCGCGCGCCGTGAGCGGGGGGTGTGAGGGGTGGAAGACTGCCGTCTGCGAAAATGATCGTGATAATTTGTTGTTACTTACCGTTTTACCGGCTGTTATTTAATTGGACTTATTTTTGCGACTGAGTTGTGATTATTGTTATATTATTTTAATGACGCGCGCGCGCGCTGGGGATAATCACGTCGACGGCGCGTCAAGAGCTCTGCGCGCGCGACGGACGCGATTTTCGCGAAAATCCGACCGTTTCCGCTCGTCGCTCGGCGATCGAGGCGGATAGACGCGCGACTTTTGGATTCGCGCGACTGAGAATTCGCGGATTGCAAGCACGTCAGGGAGAATGCAAGAACGGTTGTTTGAGTATGGTTGGAACTTTAATTTGGATTCAATCGATGCGCTCTCTCTTTAATTATTGGCGGCTGTTAACAATAGCTCTTCTTCTGGGCTCGTTAGAACAGATGAAAAATCGTCTCGTGCAGTTAATGGCGCGGAAGAATCGCGACACTTTCCCCTCGACAAAGTTCCGCGAGGCATTCGATTGCCGAGAGACAAATTTATCCGCTGAGAAAACGAATCTCCTGTAGAAGACGGGCGCGCTCTGCGAAATTCATCGAAATAAAAAAATGTTGCGGGCCATTTACGTAAAGCTGGCTGATGGCCACCGTCAATTATCACGGATTAATTAAATTAATTAAAATTAGGATTGTTAAATATAAATTAGGGCTCTATTTTATACAATTAAAGTGAATTGTAATAAAAGTCTAGAAAAACTATCGAGTCGACATCTCGTCGCTTCTGTGGTATACTAACGTACTAAAAATGGCTTCCACACTGAGCAACTGAAGAGAGAGAGAGAGAGAGAGAGAGAGAGAGAGAGAGCCAGCTCGTACGTAAAACATTTGTCTTCGTTTACACCCCGATGAGAAAAATACTCGGTCAATCCGCCGAAAAGCGTCTAGGCTCGTAACCGGGAGAGTCCACCATATCAGTCTCGGCATAGTGGAGGGGTTGAAGGTTCTTTCCTTTTATTCTCTCTCCGCCGGTAAATTTACCCCGGCAGTTAATTCCATTGTAGCGTTCCGGCTACAATACATTTTCGTGATAACGGTCGACACTGTTTTCGTTGGACCTCCTTGCATGAGGCGCCAGGTAAACTTATCGATGAGACGACGGCACAATGGACGCTACCATTGCATTAAGACAGAAAGAAAGACGGAGAATGTGCGCGCGCGCGCGCGCGCGTATGTGTATTAAGTCTGACAGCGAAAGAGAGACTCAGGTTCACAAGTCGGTGATAGAATCAATGTTAATGACGATTATTCGAACCATTCTATTTGATAACGACTGAATTCTTTATTGATATTGGTGCTGTCTCGTTGATAAACTCGCAAAACTTTTCGCTGAGGTTGATGCATAGTTGATATTTAATAATAATAATAATAATAACAACAACAACTACAATAATATTTGTTAACATGTAAGCAACTTTTGGTCACATAAGAGAGAAATGTAAAGGAAAATAAAATAAGAGAGATTTAGAAGATATCAAACAAATGGGCGTTGACCAATTATTATTTATTATCATATTACATATTGATATATGGATATGCCGACACGATTTGAGCACGGAAGCTGAATGGCGACTAGATCCCCGCTTACATATCTCCCACATATCGCGATGAAATCTTAGAAAATCAAGCGGATTGTTGCTTTCGACACAATTTCGACCGTTTGTTCATCGATCTGTGAACTCGAGAGGGGAGGGAAGGGGGCGCAGCGCGAGGATCGTATCCGAGGCTTGTAGCGGCGGTGTTGCGAAAACATCGTCGCGCCCTCGTGCTGTGAAGCAAAGCGGAGCGGAGCGTAGCCGCTCGGCGCTGCGGCCCGACATTTCCGGGGTGTCTGCGGACGATTAACACGGATTACTCTGTTCTACTCTGTTCAGGAGACCGACGCGTGCTGTGACCGCCCGGCGACCATCACGATGCCAGGAACGTGCTTGATGACCGATGCGGTCAGGACCGCGGACAGTTAGTGATGAGGAGGAGCGAGTTATCGGCGTGCCGACGGCCCAGGTCACCAGTAACATGCCAGTCCTTGGTGCCAGCAGCGCCGAGCCGACTCCACTTCGAGGACTTCTGATCGCCGCCGCCACCCTCGTCCTATTGTCCTTGCCGCGCGTCTGCCGCTGCACGGATATAGGTGAGTCCCCGAAGCGCACATCACGGCGTCGTGCGAGCAAGTTTTATGACTTCCGAAAAGTGTCAGGTGCCCCCTTCCTCCTTTCTCTCTCTCTCTCTCTCTCTTTCTCTCTGTGTGTCTTCCTTTTGACTGACTTCAACTTCTGTCAGTCTCTCGCAATCTGCCGCCGGCGTCCCTGAGCGCGCGTCGTCGCGCCGCTCAGCGACGAGTCGAAAGGTCGCGTTCGGCGATTGATAAATCTTATATAGGAGGCGTTCCGCGGAGAGACAACCGCGAGTTTTCCGCGGCGAAATGGCTTTGGGCGCGTGGGCAAACGCGTCACTGCAGTTTTGCGAGAACGGAGCGCTTCCATCGAGCTTTCATGCGTGGATATTAATTTGAGAATTATGGATGCCCGGCGGATGTGTGTGTGTGTGTGTGTGTGTTCCATCTTTGGAAATTTTCCGCCCGGTTTGGGAGCTTTTAGAATCGTCAGGTTTTGATTTCGTGTTACTCGCGAGCGCGCTCGAGCTCGTCGCTGGTTGACCCGTTTGTGTAATTATTACTTGATTCCTACGTGAGATCTGTGCGGATCTGAGTTAAATGTGAGTTTTTCAGTTGAGTCACGATTGTAGATATAATGTCACGTATGTAACGAACTTGCATAGTTTTTGGCCAAAGGGTATAAAAAAAAAAATCATCAAATGAAGCGACTTAAATTTCTATTTTTTAATATAGCCGCCCTTGATTTTCATGTTTTTAAAACGATAAATTGAACCGATTTTCCAATAGCGCCAAAGAAATATTCTACATTTTTGTTCTTGATATCCATGATTTAATACTGTGGAAGCCACTTCTTCATCACCACGCAAATGGGACCTTAATTTTGAAAATAAAAAATAATTCCGTGAAGCTAAATTTTGGCTGTAAAATGGTTAACCCTTTCAAAATCAAAGATCGATTTGCGCGGAAAATATTCACCAATGATGAAGAAGAGTCTCTGCAGTTTTGAACTATTTCAGGAACAAAATACCAGAATATTTTTGTAGTCGTACTAAAAAATTGATGGTAATCGTTCTGTAAAACGTATTGAAATAAAAGGTGACTTTCACGAGGAAATAAAAACGGCGTCACTTTATCACTTTTTTTATATCCTTAGCTTTGGACTTTAATACGTACATCAAATGTGTGATTCGATCATTGGCTAAAATTTATATGCATAGATTGAGCATAGATTCCATGAAAGCTTGCGAGGGTTACTGTCGTTTAAAGGACGGCCAGTACTATCGGCATTCGATCTCTGTCTTTGCTGATGTTAGAGAAAACCAGACGAAGATTACATGTCTGTGGACGATGGAAAGGAAATATAGCTGTCTTTTATATTTTGTCTTCAAACATCTCCTAAGCAAGCGCGATTCACGTGTACAAGTCTACGGAACTGGAAAACTTGGATCCAGTTCCAAGTTCAGATTAAAGTATCTCACTTGAGACAAATTTGAAGCAATTATAAGTTATTAATATAGGCTAAAGTATCCCGTTTCAGGCGAGCTTCAAGCAACGACCGTTAAATACGAGCAGCTTAAAATCAGAGATCCGAGTTGCGTGAAACTTGAAGCTTGAAGCGACCCGCCATCGACTCGGGCCTCGGACTCACGACAATTAGGGAGACATCTCGTTAGAATAACGAGAAACTCTCATTTCGACATGTCGAAATGCAAAGATAACAGTTGGACTGTCTTCCGCCGAGAGAAAGAAGGAAATTCCGCAACGCACGCCCATGTTGGTTTACGCGACGTAACGCGCTTGCGAAAGAATTCACGAGCGAGTTATCTCGCGAGGATCCCCCGCGAGGCACGGCAACCACCGGGAAAAGGGCAAGAGGAGCAGGAGGGGATGGAGGAAGAGAGGGCAGAGGATGTCGTGCGTGCTAATACTTCTTTTTTCTCTCCCTCTTCTCGTCGGCATACGCCGAGGCGCGGCGACGCCGTATCGTCTAACACACACCTGGCCTCCTCTCGCCGAGGCATTGTACCCTCGTAAATGAAATGTCAGCCGCACGATGAATTAACAATACTATCTAATAGCTGCTCAGACGCAGACGAGCGAGCGGGGCTCGCCGCCGCGCCGCGCCGCGCCGCGCCGCGCATTGTGCCGATTCGTTCTGGCGTGTCGCTCGCGCGCCCGCCGCTGGCTCTCAGCCTCGCCCTCGGCTCTCGTTGTTTACCGCTCATCCGTTATGTTTTTATGCAAATTAATTGTTGTCCGCGGCGACAGACGCTCTGAGGTCGCCGTTAAACGGCGAGAGATACGGACGGATAGTGTGGGCGGTAAACGGAAATGCGTCGTGTGCGTCGTTCCGCTTGTCCTTCCCTCTTCTTTTCTTTCCTTTCCGGCAGCTTTTCGTATCAGTAACGTGGAATTCGCTCGTGTTTAATTGGCTTACGTCAACCCGCCAAACGAGTCGCGATTAGAGTTTTTCGACGATGACTCTGGCGTAACGGGGAAAATGCGGGAGCGCGCCTGTGCGAATTCGCCCGACGGAAGAGAGAAAAACGAAGAAAGAATTCTTTGTGATTTCGCTCGTACGAGTCTGTCAAATATTAGGCTAGGTGCGAGAGACTTGTCATTGTTCTCGTAAATTCTCGTAGAAAGTTTGACTGGAAAATGGAATGTCCTTGTTAGAGAAGTCCAAAAGTAATACCGAGTCGATGTTGCTCGTTTCATTCGTAAAAAAATTGCTCTGATCCTTTGAAATTGGATGGCGCTCCTATTTTATTCGGCAATCACGACAAATCTTTCGCACTAACCAAGCCCCATCGGACCGTCGTTAGACTGCCGACTGTTGGTTTCACAATTTCGATTCTCGTCTCCCTGCCGGTGTGTGTGCGTGTGCGCGCGCGCGATGTACATTTCTTCGGCATTCGTATGCTAATCAGCAATTGATATCTCCGGTAGAAATAATTAATGCTTTCATAAATATTGATTATTAATTATTGGCTGCTCGCGTTCCGCTCGCGCTCTCGCGCGGGCACGCTTAAGCTGCACACACGGAATCGGACTGTCAGTCATGTCACAAATCATTGAAATCGTTCATTATCCCGCGCGTTGCGCGAAAACGCATCGCGCGTCTAGGATATTCCAATACGTCAGCTTGACTTATTGCTTTGGGACATAACACTAAAGCTCGGGTTCATAGCCGTTATCGTCGCGCATATTGGATATTCAATGCGCGACGGCGGCCGCGATACGCTCGTGCGCTCGTCCGCACATCACACACAAACACACACACACACACACAGGAGAGAGAAGGAAAGAGAGAAGAGGAGAGGACCATGTCAACGTGTGACACGCGGCCAACGGCTGCGAAGTGCGGCAGGAACGGTGGAAAATTCGCAACGCGAATTGCTGCGAAAAATGTGTGACTTTCCATGCGCGATTAATATTCCAGATTTCATGACGCGAGATAACGGCCGTGGGAGGAAATCTCGATATCGCGAAGGGATCGAAAAACGCGATGAATCATCCGGTGGTTTGGATTTTTCGTGTTTAGAAGCGGCGCGAATTCTCCCTCCCTTTCTCTCTCTCTCTCTCTCTCTCTCTCTCTCTCTCGTTTTCTCGCCGAAATCGTCGTTTATTTTTACAGATTTATATATATTAACTAGATTGCTGACTCTGGACGGCGGAATTGTGATGGGTAGAGGCATCGTATCATATTGAGTGTGTGTGTATTCACGGCTACTCTAATTAGGAAAATAGCGCGTCATGTTTTGTTTGGAAGCAAATATTGGCCTTTCAAACTGTTTTCTGTCTTGCTTTCTTCCTTCGTACTGCTCGTCTGGTGTACTGGTATTCTGAAATTTTTAATTATCTTATGCATTGTGCAAATTCTAATATTGACTCCAGCGCACACACAGTGACTGTAGGTGTGATTTTCAAGATAAAACACATCTACGTGCACCTAACTCTGGATATTTTTATCGTTTCAATTTTTAATAATGAAATATTAATTACAGAGAATATCCATGGAATAATTAGAATAAGAAAAATTAAAAAGGTAAAAAGGTAAAATAATTAAAATAACTCCGTGGAGTAAAATACATAATTGGAATAAAAAGATGTATCATTTCGAATATTTTCATTCTTCAATGTACGATATTTGTGCGTATTTCACATATATTTATAAATGTCCTATATTTTACAATACGAAAGTTTAAACACTATCCTATTTAAACACGAGTCGAAAATCGATAAAAATGCCCAGAGCTGAGTGCATCCGCAGGTATCGATACCTTCACATTACACGTGTGAGTAAATTCAAAACAACCTGGCGTCCCACATCCCCTCAACCTGGGACTCGTTACGTGGAAAGTCAGCAGACTAGTTAGTATAATACATAGAAGCTTGTGGTTCGTTCCCGGACGTTTTCTGTGCACGCGTCGTGAAACGCAACACGACGACGACGACGACGTCGACGACGAGGACGACGGTTGTTTGGCGGCGAATTATTTCGGATAATTTTCGGACGCGAAACATCGGCGGCTCGGCGGCTGAGCCCGGCTAAATCCCGGGATAGTTCGATAATTACAGCACAGTTCATCTCGTTCGCAGTATGTCGCGCTAACGACTGCGGCATAAAGGCGAATACTGGCTGCAAATACGATCGAAGTTGCACGACCGGGATATGGGGGCTATAACGTTTATTAGAGGATGATTTCGTACGCGCGCACACACGCACATACACATACGTACACGAGCGCGCGGGCGAAATGTAACGTTATTTCCCCTCAGGTTTACTTTCAAAGTCCGTTAGCGCGCGTTATCTGATCGCTGAATTTCACACGCTCGTCGCGGTCAACATTGTTGCTATTTACGGAAGGGCCGGCTGGCTGCTATTGTAGTCGAGCGCGTTAATTAATACGATGAGACGCATTTCCGACGGGGGTTGGATCAAGGAGATCGCGATAACGTCGATTATCTCGTGTGCTCCATGCGCTGAAAAAAGAAGAACGGCTAATTTCGCCAAAATTGTACAATCGTACTTGGCAACAAACATTTTTGTCGTTCCAACAGAGCGGTGGCATTAGCAGCGCACATAGAAGATTCCGACCAACACTGCACTAGCATTCATAGTTATAAAAATATTGTCGCGGATATTTTTCTTCTCGATGGATACGTCGGGGATTGTTAAAACTGGTCGTATCGTTAGCTGTGTATTTATTAATAGCAATGAAATTGTGCACGACATACTTAATCCAAGTATCTGGCTATTGATATCCGCCATTTTCTGTGATTAAATTACTTCTCAAATAATTGACTTTGTGCTTCTTTTTATATATTTTACATCCGAATGGATTCTGAATTTCTCTCTGGAGTCAATGAAATCGTCGACGACTCGACGGGCTTTTGCAAGCCTTTGATATTTGGCAGCTTTCGCGATTATTATGCTGCGATGTAATGTCGTCTCTTATCGCCGTGCACTTCGTCCGAAAAACGTTGTAAAAAATGTGATAAAGTATAATAATAAAGAGAGAGAGAGAGAGAGAGAGAGAGGCACGCGAGGGGTCCCTTATGAAAGCATGTAAAGGACCGACGGCCGGTTTGTAGGGCACTAGAAAAGTCATAATTCCCATTTGTAAATTTTTTTTAATAAAACGCGCAAACACGGAAACGGCACGACGGAATAAACACTGCCGTTAAATGGACACGTTGTTAAACGAGTCACGTGCCGTTGTCATTTTGCGATATGTTTTAGCTAGATATGGCCGTGGCGGCAGCGAGGTAGGGCGGAAAAAAAGCATTCGACGCAGCTTGCAAAATGTAATTTTGTAGTATTTATCTTCTTGATCTCCAGCAGCCCCGTTTCGTCGTGTGCCCGTAATAACGAGTTTGTGCATTTGCTCGCCCGTTTACGGTTGACAACGCTGGGAATTCATATTTTTTTACATCGACGTAAGTCGGAACGAATGGAAAAACGGGGCAAAAATGAGAGAGAGAGAGAGGGAGAGAGAGAGAGAGAGAGAGAGAGAACGGGAGGGAATTTGAAATTTATTTCGCAATTCGAACGACTGTCGACCGGAATGAAAAGACCAGATAATAAAAATAATCAGCTGTCTGGCACATTTTTCGTCCTGCTTATTTCTGTTTACTTAAGCTAATTCAAATCGATCACTCGATCACTCCGATTTGTCCCACATGCATCCCTAAGAACACGATGCAAATATAGTCCTGCGACACTGGACTCGCTCGATTGTTCATCGGATAATAATATCTCAGTTACCGGCGAACCGCCTGAATCATTAATGCGTATCATTAGACCCAAGCGAATATATGAATAATCGCGTCCACCGTTCTTCTTCGGGTTTCACTCGTACGATCTAATCTCATCGGAGAAAATCGGGGCGCGCGCGCGCGAGAGAGAGAGAGAGAGAGAGAGAGAGAGAGAGAGAGAGAGAGATGGATACGCGTTTATTATCGTTTCGGTTCTATAAGAACGTGCGAAGAAGAGAAAAATTGAATATTGCTGATTGTAGGTGATGCAATTAGCGGACAAATTTACATGAAGAAATAGCCCGACAGATGATAAAAAGTTATAGCTCGTCAAACTGCTTCTCCGCGTAAATTTCTTCCTCCCAATTCAGATCGTCCACCAACTACTCGAACAAATTGCAATTTTCTATAATTTCTCAAATTACCCGCCAGCGGATTTGGCAGATTGTAACTTTTTTATAGCTCGTCAAACTATCTATCGATTTGATCACACTTTCTTATCGTTTGTCACAAACAACCCATTTAAATTTGCACGTCATCGGAGCGTTTAGGCACTGTTATCAGGTAATCGGTGAAAGAAACAGCAGACCGCGCAACAAATTCGCGAACTTTCGATCTCCGGAACAGGCAAAGCTCTCCGTTCCCCCCCCCTCTCTCTCTCTCTCTCTCTCTCTCTCTCGCGTTCGTGAGACGCGATAATGTTTGCGTTTGTCGTACTTGAACGTATCGAAGGCGCACGGGGGGAGGGGGGAGGGGGGAGGGGGGGAGGTGGTCTGTAGTCGCGACTGGTCGCCTTGTTTCAGCGCGCAACGCGACTCACACATGCGCGCGCCCATAGAATCGGCAGACGAGACGCGCCGGAGTTTCGCCGTATAATGGACGGCGGCAGGTGAAACGTAGGGGACAGTTACAAACACAAACGAAGTTTTGTGTTGGTGGTAATGCCCGGCTCACGGAGGACCATAGCCGGCCCGGTAGTGGCTCCGGAGGCCAGGCTAATCCCACGTCCGCTGCATTCTGCAGTTTTGAAACTTTCCGCCGTAACTGCAGTACCGTAGTTTAAGCGTAGCGCGACGTAGCGCGAGCGCGCGGCCGTTCGCCGGCTCCTCGCTATGGAATACGGAGGAATTTATCACGCGCCGCGCCGAACAGCGCCGAGACATTGTCATATAGGCGTGCGCGTCGGTGCCGTCTATCGATTTTCGCCCGGCGACGTCGCGAAGGCATTTCGTATCACGAAGAAGACAAGAAAAAGAGTGAAGAAGAGAGGGGAAGCGAAAGAAGCGCGTCGTCATTCCTGAGCGCGAACATCGTTCGGTTTTGCATGTGTGGCGTTCAAAGTGCTCAAGACAGTTTCGGGGGAGAGCGTTTCGGACGAGTGGAGATCTGTCGAGCGGCTCTTCAACGGAATAGTTGAGGTGTAAATAAGCGGGAGGTATGTAAATAAGGTACAAGTGAGTCTGGGAAGAGCCGAGACACAAATACGCTGTGTTGAAGGTCGAACCAGATGCTGAGGCTTATAGTTGCAAATTATTCGCGAGGTTTGATTACGAATACGATCCTTTACAAATTCACACTTGCGAGCTGCTATTCGGTTGTAAGAGCCAATTTCTCGCCGTACGAGATAAATATCATTTTGAATGGCCTTACATATATCGCAGATCAGTCAAAAATTATATAGACCTGCTTTCTCGCAGATTTAGGGATCGAAACAAAGCTCAAAGACAATCTGACAAAATGAATCCCGATTGAGTGCTTTTGAAACCGTGAAATATATATATATAATATGAATATTTCGTAGACAAAAATTTCATGATATTCAATATGCGCTTTATAACTCTAAATTTATATTTGTTAAAAGTGCCATATAGCTATGCACGTTGAAAAAGAATTATATCTCTGTAAAATATAAATGCGCAGTTGTGGGAAGCAAATGAAATAACGTAAAATTTGCCCGTGAAACATTCGTTTCCCCTTTACTCCGCCATTTCGAAGATAACCGCTCATTTTCTGCTTCACCGAATTTCCGTCGAGGGAGGTAAAATTTTTACGTGGCTGTTCCGACCGCTAAACGCGCAAACGAGCACACGTAGAAAAAAATATTTTTGGCCGCTCCGAAACATACTCGAAGCTCGTCAAATTCGATGAGGGACTCCTCTCCACACGTTTTCTCACGAGAGAATTCGATATTCGATACTCCTCGAATATCCCGTGGACGATGAAGGCATTTTGCAGAAAATACTCCTCTAATTATCTCCAGCGCCGCATCTCGTGCGACTACTCTCCATCTTCCTCTTCCTGGCCCGCGTGCGTCGAAACAGAGAAATAGAAGCGATTCGCGCAACTTTACACCGAGAGGCCATTGGCACTCGCGGAAGGGAATGCGAGCGTGTTCGCCGCGATTTCGGAATCGCCTCCTGGCGGAAGTTGCGCGACGTCCGACGCTCCCGGGGCTTCGCTTGTGCCAACGCTGACACGTCGTTAACGGAATCGTCGCGAACGAGGTCGTCGGGGCGAAATTGCATCGCGGGATTCCGCGGTCTCCGGTCGGCGGCGGAGCTGCGCAAAAAATGCGGACGCGGGGAATTAATTAGCGCTCGTCGATCCGCTCGAGCGGACTCGCGGCGTCTTCGCCTCGGAATAATCCCCGTTATTGTCGCCGATTGTCTCTCCCTCCCTTCCTCCTTCCCTCCCCCCCTCTCTCTCTCTCTCTCTCTCTCTTCTCTCTCTGTTCCTCCGTTCACCCTCCCCAATTCTCCATCACCGTCGCCGGGAATCTTCGTCCCGGCGTTCCGCGGGCGTGTTAACGAAATGAAGATTGATATTGAATTCTGCCTAACACCATCGCGCGAATTGTTTCCAGGACAATGCACCGCGGCGCTGGGCATGGAGAGCGGAGAAATCCCCGATGAAGACATCACGGCGAGTTCTATGTACGATCCCAGCCTCGGACCGAAACATGCCAGGTAGGAGAACAATCGTATCGCCAGGCTGCTACCGCCAAGCGCGACAACGGCGACGGCGTAGCGGTGGCGGCGGCTCGGCCATCTCGGTGTATCTCCGGTGAACGAATTCCCGACTTGAGCGAGCGAGTCCCAGCCTGGACGTCGTCGTCTTTGCCGTTGTCGACGGCGACGACGACATCTGACGCGACTTCTTAATCGCTATTCCTCTTCGCCGACGAGCTCGCGTCGCCTCTCGCCCACTCATTTTAACCCCCCCCCATTGGCGACTCTAAACTCCGAGCGTTCAAGAATGTAGAAAAAAGCACCAATTACGCCAGATGTCTTTAATCTTTATCAGGCTGTGTAAACGAGATATCATCGGGCTCGTCTCTCGTTCATCTCGCGTATTTTTTTCCATTACACGTTACTTTTTATTATTTGTTATTAATACGTACTTAGGCACACGCGCAAACACACAGACGTACGTTGAAAATGGTCGGGCGTATTTTTATCGGATTTCGAGAAGTTTCGGGAGAGTCCGCGCGAGAATACGCGGACACTCCGTCGTCCTATCGGGCCGCAGCTCGTCGGTCGCCGTCGCGTTGCATTGTTCTTCAACTAAATATAGAATTGCGCTTAACGTTGTAACCCCCGAGTGTGACGTCGCGTCCCGCGCGTGTTGTGGATACGCGCGCCTCTCGGATTCCGCTCGAGTGAAATTAGGTAATTGCGATTCGCGTCACACTGCGCTATCGAAATTCTCCCGCCCGGTAATGTAAATCGCGTGACACGGAGGAATGTCTCGCGCGGATGGTAATAGCGAGTCTCGCCGCCGCCGCCGCCGCCGCCCGCTATACGCGGCTCGCTTTATTTCTTATTACAAAGCCGAGATTAAAATCGCGAACAGGTGCGGCGCGTTCGCGCCCTGCGCGCGCTCGCCCCTTGAGGCGTATGAAAATTTTAAGTAACACGCGGCCTCGCGAGAGGCACGTGTTGTAAAAGTACCTTTACCGGCCATGCGAATTCGTCGCGATCACGATGGAGCGGGGAGAAAAGTGTCGTCGATTTGCGCGCAAACGGGGAATTAATTTTTGGCGAGGGGAAGACCATTGTGCGCGACGAAATTTTGGCTCCGCACGTTCTCTGCAAGGCCTGGTGAATTTCGCTGAAATTGAAGGAACAATAGGGAGTTTCGAGATAAAACACTATACACAGGCCATTGTCCTCTTTTGATGCCCCGGAATTATTTAATATTCAAATTTCTCGGTGCTCCCCACCTGCATTTAATCTCCATTTTTAATTCCGATAACCGCATTTCGATGTTCCGTCGGCGTTTAATTTTCATCTTTTAGTTTCAACAAGCCAGGCTTCTAGAAACAACTGCAACTCACAGCTGCACCCGAGGAGCAAATACCGAGCGATTTAATAAAGACCAACGGGCGACTGCAATAAGACAATAAGTTCGTCACTTTCGAAATCTCCTCGTGATTTCAAAAATGTCGGGAATTTCAATAGGATTCGGAAATTTAGAGAGAATGATAAACACAAAGGGGCTTTTGGGGACAAACGCAGCGCTTACTCTATCGCGCAGAAGCGCAAAAGGCAATTTAGACTCCCGCATTCGTCGCGATAACAAGTCGGAGCTAAAATCGTAAAGAGGCAAGGCGGAATTCGCGTGCCCAAAGAGCATTGTCCGGGATCCAAATTAGTAGGGGCATATGAGCGGATTTGATTAAATGTCGACGCGATTTCCCGTGAATCCCGACTCGGCTTTTGCCAGACAGGATCTCGGCGGGATATTCGCAAACGGCGAACCCGTTGCCAGTCACGTACATATCTATTTGTCAGCGGTGATTATTATAATCATAAAAATTTTACGCTCATATTTCTCCATGTGACTCTTTTTTCACGAGAGACACACACAGAGAGAGAGAGAGAGAGAGAGAGAGAGAGAGAGAAAGAGAGAAACATGATAAATGATACGCTCGAAAGCAACGAGATAATTATGAGTGGCGTGTAACACTGGACGCGTGTTGGTAACATCCAGGCCGACGCGGGAATAGAATCACTGATACAGTTCGCGCGCAAGACGCGTGTCCAAGTTGAAGAGATTAAGAGCGATCGGCGCCGACTGAAGTCAGGATGGGATCGTCATCCGTTGATCAGCGGCTCAGTATGGAGTATCTTCGCGTTTTGGTCATTAACAACGACCCCCCTTCCCGCCCGCGCATGTGTATCGCAAACCCGCGGGCTGCGAGAGCCCTGCGCTATCGTGCGCTCCAGTCGAGTGGATCGATTTCGTCAACGATATGTGACAATTTACGCGGTAGCCTCTCTCTCTCTCTCTCTCTCTCTCTCTCTCTCTCTCTCTCTCTCTCTCTTTCTCTTTGTGATCCATCGAAAACCGTGACGCGACCTCCGATAATAACCGGTTTCGTGTTTCGATACCCTCGTTAGGTCGCCACCGGAAAACGATGTCGGTGATGTCGATGATCGGAAAGAGAGAGAGAGAGAGAGAGAGAGAGAGAGAGAGAGAGAGAGAGGGAGAGAGACAGACGGATAACTAGACGGAGACAGATGGGGAGAGATGGAAGACATTTTTTCGGAAGACCCTCGAGGGCCGAGAGATCGCTCCGGTCTATTGTAGGCCACACGCTCGGCAATTAAAAAATTTTAATTAAACTGCCGAACGCGCTCGCACTCTCCCCCCCCCTTCCCCCTCCCTCTTCCTCGCGCGCGAGCGCGCGCACGCTCCCACAGGCCGATCAGCCGTGACGTTTTAATTAACGATCTACTGCGTAAATCAAAAAGCGACCTACGCGGTCGCATATTTCGTGGTGGATAGCCCTCTCGCCGGCCGAGAGAGGGAGAGAGGGAGCGGGCGGGCGCGAGAGTGCGAGAGAGTGAGCTAGGTCCTTCGAGCAAGTCGTTACCGGAGAGTTTCAGGATACACACGACCGCGCACAAGTCCGGCACACGATGTAATGGTGGGCATAGGATGCGGGGTAGCGGCCGAAAGCGCGGGCGGGCAGAGGAGGGCGGGTTCGGTCGGGGGTCGGCGACCACGACGGCGGGTGTAGAAGGGGGCGCGCTCGACCCCTACAAATTACCTCCAATTTCGTGTAAATTCCTCGTGCCTGCGTCAGCATAATACCTGTATTAGAACGCCCGGCTCCGGCTCTTAGGTGGCAATAAATCTGTATTAGAGCAAGGCGCCGCGCGCGCCCCCGCCCGCTCTTGCAAAAGGGGTACGACGACACCCCGGGACCGGTTAATTTTTCAGGGCAGCGATTCGCTCCTCTCGTCCCTCCCCCACTTCCCGCTGCCCCTCCATCATGTTGTCTACAAGCCCGCCCTGCCGAAACCGTGACTGCCGAAATTCTCGCCATCAGCCGGAAAAGCACGTCGTGCACGCTCGTTTATCCCGCGAAATCGTCGAGGGGACGCCCTGAGCGAGCAACCCCGCGGAATAATTTTATTATTCTCTCTGTCATTTTATTATTATTGTTGTTGTTGATTTTACATATATTGGGTGAAACGCAAAAACTTACTTAAAATCGTGAATGCGTTCACTGAGGACTAGAACGCTACGTGAGCGACTCCTCGATGCTCCAAATCGAGCAGAGTTACAATATAATACAGAAGCATCGGCCGAGTATGAGAGAGAAAGAGAACGGTACATTTTTATCTTCATCGTGATAAATGAATTCCGCTCGCGTCGCATAATACGTAATGATATGAAAAATTTATCGCTTCGTCCAAACATTTCGCCACAACGTTGCACGCAGCTCCTATTATTCTCGTACAGTTTCCTTTTATACATATGTATAATAATAGTGCTCTAATGGCGATTTAATTTTATACGCGATTTTCCCACAGACACGAGAGATCCTTCAGACATCAAATCCTCCCTGTATCAACCCCCACCGCTCGCGGACGGAGGGTGAGTTTAATATCGTGAAAACGGCCAGCGACAAATAATCTCCCTTATCAGTCGCGGTTATAAATCGCGATTGTATAATTGCCGGTCGCCCCAGTTCTCCCGCGTAATCACTTTGGAAGCTCCAGTCGCCCGATAAAATCTTCTCGGTGTCGCTGAGCGTGAATGTTCGCTCTCTCTCTCTCTGTCTCTCTCTCTCTCCCTCGGGGGACGGGGGCGGGCGACATAGACACTCGCGGAATTCCCGGGGTGCGCGTACCCGGTTCCCGAATCTAGTTTCTCGAGCGAGCTCGCCCGCTCCGCTGTGTCCGATGCTTATCGCGATACACGACGCGCGTTATCGCGGATCCGCGGATCCGTGATAACGCGAAATGCATCGCGACGCGCGATTATAATTACAGATGAAAGATAGATTTCCATGCGCGTCGAGGTCGAGCGTGTCGAGCCGGAGAGCGAGAGGGGGACTGAAGGGGGAAGCACTGAAGGGGGGCGGCGGAGAGCACGAGTGAGATATTGCTCTGGCGCCGTGGGCGCAAGCGGGACGTGATGCGATGTTACACAAGTAGCGTTAAAGTAGCGCGGCTGCTCCTCGGCGTAACGAAATTGCATCGTACGTTTTATTGGAGAGGCTCACGCTCACGCTCGCACATCGCTGCTGCTGCTGCTGCTGCTGCTGCTGTTGCTGTTGCTGCTGCTGCTCGCTCGCGACATTTTAGAGAGGGTCATTGTTAGCCGCGTCTCGTCGCGATGAGCGGCGGCGATGCACGCGCGGTAAATAAACGCGAAAACGTATAATTCGCCTAAGTACTTTTCAACGAGCCAATTAGTAGCCGCGCGTGCCATCGGCGCGGCGACGTGTTTCGCCCTTTCTTCCGTGTGCGAGAGCACATTCTTCCGAACGTGTGCACAAACGACGCACTCTGGTCGGCGACGCTTCGCCTCTAAAAGGTTGCCGGGACGAATGACGAACCTCGGAAGTGTCGTCGACGTCCAAACGTCGTGATGTCAAATAGGCATTAACGCGATCGCCGTAGCTTCTTGTATCTTTCTGTATACTTAATCCTACGAATGTTTTGTATCA